ACATGGCAAGCTTTAGTTTTGCTTGAACCAAAAAGAGGAGGATGTCAAATTCTTAGTAGTTGTCAGACTAAAAAAATACAAAATGTTGATGACAATGGCTGAAATTAGGTAACAATTAATTGTAAAATATTATAGAAATATTCCTACTAAATGTTTTTCTGTTAGTATCCTGCCATTTGTTTTTAATTTATAGTGGCAGCGACAGCTTTGCTGACATCTATGATAGTTGCGACTTTAGAGGTACGATATGCCAGAATCTATATTGTGTTGTTATTACTCATAAAACATTATTGTCATTTGATCTCAGCTGATAAAATTGATAGTTTTCTCTATTATTAAAATGTAATTGGGAAAAGCCATTGTACAATAGAAATCATATGCCATGACAGTCCTGATTTACTGTTTAAATTATCTTTGAAGGATGCTAGAATCGTAATAAATCACGTTTGTAAAGAATAAAGAGTTCTACTGCAAAATATTGGATCTAAATCCACAATTAAAACATTGCTCTGTGGTAGGTCAAAGTAAAAGAAAACACATTAATCAACTGCAGTCATCCTGTTAAGCTGAATGGCAGTCATGCAAGGATTAATTAGTTTTCATGTCACGTGTTTATCCTTGCTGAAATCTGAAATCTGTCCCTAACTGAACCTGAACCTGAACCTGAACCTGGACTGGACCCACCTGCGTTTTGCTTTGCTGCATCCAGCCCTAACTGCACTGTTCATCTGGGAGGTAGTCCATCAGTCCTGCAGATGTAGTTTCATCTCAACAGCTGTGTGTGTTTGTATCTCTTGAGTGCAGCGATCTGTACTCTTTGCCTGGTTTTCATCCAGACAATAATTCTGGCAGGCATAAGAAGAGGACCCCTAAGTCTCAGCCAGATTCACACACATGCAACTTCAACCCTTCACTAACTATAGGGAGTTTTACAGCTTTCATTACAAACTTATACATGTTATTTTTTTGCCCTCTAACATGCCCTAAAAGTAGGATATAGGGAAACTACGCAGAGAGAAAACATCAGTTAACACGAGACCTATATCATCTGTTTTAAACTTTCAAGTTTTAAATCCCTTTCAATTGTAACAAAGTGTTACCATAGACATTTGGATGATAGGAAGTAAAATGCATTTCATTTTCTTTTTTCTTTATCTAAAGGCCTAAAATCTTTCCTTTCTTAATCATTTTAGGATAACTTTGGACACGGACACCCTTACCATTACTTAGCCGTTTATTGTGTCAGTATCCTCCCTAAATCTTCCTTTGCTTGTGCTCTGGCTTACGTACAGACATCTGGTTTGCATTGTAGCTCATCTTTTCTGGGACCTGGCATTACTTTTTTACAGTCCAGGCCCTTGAAACTCCAGCTCCCCTCCGCAACAAAAGCTTACGGCCTTTAGCATTTGGCAAAAAACAGAAACTCCCTGCTGTGCTCTCCTGATGTATTATTTGTTTTTTTTCATCAGGTGAGTGCACTTAGGTCATTTTTTAATTCATTAACATGTTTATGGCTACAATTCTGCATGACTGAAATATGGTCCTTGGATCTGACAAGGACATGGCTGGTGTGCCAGACTGTCTGCCTCTTTGCCCCTTTTTTTCTTTCTGCCCGCAAATGACAGCTTGACAGTTGATTGATAAAGAACTGAAGAGCAAACCATGGCAAGGAATGAGTTTTGAAGGAGGATTGAATTGTGCAGCTTTAGTTTTTGTGTGTGTGCCTGCTGTCAAACTCGGCACTTAGAAGTCAGAGTAAATGATTCATGTGCAGATTACAGCAGAGAAGTGGGTCAGAACTGCAGTTAACTTATGGAGCATTTGTAAAGATCAAAGTGAGAAAGAAAGCAATGACGACAGAGAATAATATAGATATTATAAATAATGAAACACGTCTATGCACGTCGTGAAGATACTTGCATGTGGACCATTTGAATACCCTCACACTTCTCAGAATGTATATTACTTTGCACTCACATAGCTGTGTTTCAGGGGAAACTTGAGCCCCTTTCAGCAATAGGATTTTAATAGCTTAATCTGTTAAAGCGACAACATTCAGTCAGTAAACTGTTGGTCACATTCATGCTACTCTCAGTATTTGCTTGAAAGTCATGGAAATAGCAGTGGTTTGCATGAAATTTTAGCTGTTTCCGCAATATTTGGGTGTAAATCAGATAAGTTACAATAGATCAGTGTTTGCTTACAAGAACTTGTCATTTTCCCCTAATAACTCATATTGCATGTAGCAATCTAGACTTGTGCAAAACATGCTGGGTGTGTGTGGGAACAGCTAAAAATTTGTACTTTTCTAAATATTTATATGACTGAACAGAATACTGATCTGTTTTTTGCTCGGATATGGAAAGTTTGAACGACCCAGTTAATTATTCATATTAAGACTTAAGGTGTCAGATTCCTCTGAGAAGTGGCAAATTAAGATTGCCTGTCACTGTTCATGCCTCCACATCGTGGGAGTGCTGCAGTTCAGACATGTGCCATGTTGAAAATGATATGTATAAGTTACTGGTTCAAATTTAGGAAAGACCGCCGTTCCAAAAGTGTTTCTGAAAAAGTGCCAGGATGTACGCACATGATATTGTTAAGTTTAGACCATTTGAGCATCTCTTGTCGCCACTCTCCCACTGCAGGGCTAAAGTCTTTGCCTTTAAAGCTTTTGATCTAATGGTTGTTTTTAGTACAGGCACAGGATCGCCCATCTCTATTTTCTCTGATCTCAGAAACTACACTAGAATTGTGTGTCAATTGTGTGTATAAAGGTTTAGCCTGTACAGACCTGCCCTCTCTCCCTGGGGGTATGTTTTAGGTTCTGGTTTAGACCATCTTGTTACATAGGCCCACATACCCTGAAGGGCCCCTTGGGTCTTTGCTCTGAGTTTACAAACTGACAGCTAGATACTGTGTAAGACTGGTTTATTACAGAAACTCTTGCACACAACTGTGCATGTTTGCTGGTGTGTTGGCTCACAAGCACATACTATACATTTTGGGACTGGATTAAAAAATGTTATTGAAGACACTTTTGGTTATTTTTGTGCTTCACATTAGAGGAGAAAGATTCATTTTTTTGAATATTTATCCGTAAAATATATGGAATAGAATAAAAAAAAATGTTTTGATCCCGCAATCTTTTTTATTGTCTGAACTGTCCATGTTTTTGGTGCAACTTTCCAGGAAATGTCATTTTCCACTCAAGTGACTGAAGTCAGCAGCAGCCAGCTGTTTTGCATGTGCTTAGAAAGGAAAAAGATGTGGTGTTTTCTTTTCATATGACTTCTAAAAAGTTGAATGGATGACAGAAACTTCCTTGCCCGCCTTTTGTGAGTCAGTCTATGTTACACAGAGCTGATTAATCGAACATCCCCCTTTTTCTGGTTATTTTTTCTCTAGTTGCAAAGCCCCATGTGAATGAATGAATTTTTGCATAAGAACAAATAAAAGTCCTGAACAGTTATTTCTCAGCTTGCCACACATGCACCTCTTTTTGACTCTCTTTTAGGGTTTTATAAACTACCCATCTGTCTGTTTTTTAAAACACACAATTGCTCTGCCTCTTTAACCCTCTGTGCTTCCATGTTACCTTTAGTTACTTAATCATCATTTGGATGGATCTGTTTGTAGAAGACATGGGACCATGTGTGGTTGTGTGTCCCTGTGACAGACTGGCAACCTGTCCAGTGTATATCCCACCTCTCACAGACTGCTGGCATAGTCTCCACCTCCTACCCCAGACCCTGCTAGGAACAAGGGGTATAGCAAATTAATGGACTAATGTTTGTGGAGGAGGTTTTATGAAATAAAAACTGAACAGTAAATAGATGATTTACATTTCAGTTTTCCTACATAACAAAAAATATAACCACATTCTGGCAATACTACTCTCCCAGTGTATCTATGTTTTCATAGCTCTGCCAATCTCTGCATAGACTTAATTGGTCAAATAGTGTCTCTGAAATCTCTAGTCATCATTTAGTGTTTTTATGGTATAATTTTCATCTTGTGCACTGATTTTTGTACAAATATGAAAGAAAGAAACCATAAGGACCGCTTTCATCTCAGTGAAAGGATTGTATGACATTGTTTGCTGAATAAGAAAAATACAAAAAAGCATATTAAAAAAAAACATTTTCCTCCTTTTCTTAACTGTCAATAATGTAAAATTTTGATTTCTGTTTTACCCTTTAATTTTTTTCATTTCCTCTTCCCTTTCTATACTTCTCTCCTCTACTGGTTCACAGGTGGTGTCATCCATACAGATACACACACTCCTGACTCACGGCTGACAGCGTGGGACAGAAGCGGTGAGACGGAGCAAGGACATAAGGAGGAAACGTGGAACACGGAAAATAAGAGGCATTCTGTGGTCATTCCCCACATTTCTGCAGCTGTGTCACAGACTCTGCAAGATTCTTCAGATTTACAAGCAAAAAAAAAAGAGTTTCCCTGCCTGATGGAAGAGTTCAGGCCGGTGAAATGTAAAGCCTTTGCTGGCCTCAGATAAGACCCCTGGGGCTCCTCTGTGGCGTTATTTGTGAAACCCCTGCTGGATCTTCCGCTGTCACCATCCTCCATGGCTGTCATTAGTGGCTAATGAGCTGTTGCTACAGAGGAAAGGGAGAAGGTGCCTGTGGAGAGAGGCGGTCATTAAGAGGCCCGGTTATCTCAGACAAGAAGTTATTTGCCTCTTGAAAGTGAACTTTGAAAGCATGAAAGAATCTGAACTTTGGAATTTGTTTATATTTTGGATTTCTTTTCACTTGTCAATTTTTAATTTAGTGTTTTAGCTGCATAGGTCCAGGAATAATGTCACTTTTCAGTATTAAAACACTTCCTTCCAGCACGATGTTCCGGTATTCAGACATACAAACTCCTCTCTCAAACTGAAAAAGTTTCAACATAATATTTAAATCTGGCATGGCTTTTTTTTAAGAGAGCTTTTTTGTGCATCTTACTTTCCTATGCCCTGAAGAAAGTCTTTCACCATGGCAGCAGCCTATCGTGTAGTTGTGAGCAGTATAAGCTGCTATAACAGTGTAGTGGTGGACCGGCGCACCCACTCCCACGCTGTGCACTACTGCTCAGGGCCATGTGGGGCACTCTCCCAAGGCCTCGACTGTACAGTTGCACATCGCGGCACTTGCTCTGAGCTTCTCGTTGCACCTGACCCTGTGTATAATGACTTCAACAACTCACCCCTACACTCCCGTAACATGATCAGTCAGCAATCTCCTCAACATGGTAAGCTTAGCGTTTCCATGGATACTCTTCATAATGGTGGTCTTGAAAGGGCAGGCAGCAGTAGCAATTTGTCTCTGGGGGAGGACAGCCCCACATGGCGTGGTAAAAAGTGCCCCATTGCTGGAGGATCAACTGGGAATTTGAGCTCCTCTGGCAGCCTGAAGGACATTACGGAAGAGGCTATCAACCTGGCCAGTGGTAAGCTCAAAGAATTTTCATTTGACAAGCTCCGCATCTCCTCCTCAAGTCATGTCACTCTCCGTAAAGGCCGCAAGGTTCGCCCTGACTCTTTCAGCCGCCGTTCCACTGACCTCGAGATCATCTATGGTCATTTCGGCTCTAACATCTCGGCTAACCCAACAACTAATGGCATGACAAATGGCTTGCCTGCTTCGAATGATGAGAACTTGCCACCATTTGTGTTAGGTAAGGGAACAGGAATGGAGGAGGCAAAGGTAAAGGCCAGCTCAGGCACTTTGTCAGTTGTCACCAAAGCAGGTGGTGGATCAACAAGCACTCTCACAAGTATTGGGTCACTGGACCAGAGTCTGAACACAGTGGCCTCTCTGTACCGCAGCACTCTGGGAGAGGAGAACCTGATCGCCCGTTTGCTGGAGAAGACGCGTGCGGAGGCAGGTGGAGCAGGGGGGGAGGACATTCGTGCCTGTCTTGACATCCTTCTTAAATGTTCAGAAGACCTTAAGAAATGCACTGATATTATAAAACAGTGTATTAGACGTAAAGCTGGTGGAGGAGCTGAGGATGGAGAGGCAAGTCCCGACAGTCTCTATCGAGCCGTCATGACCCGACTCAGCTCCTACCTGAAGAGGCTTCCTCTGGAGTTGGAAGGTATTGGCAGTTTGGGAAGCAGCGGACAGGGTGGAAGCGGACACAGCGACTTGGCTGAACTGGTGAACACTCTTCACTCCATCCAACAGGGACCTTTCTCTCCAATATTTGGCAATGAGCAACCTCCTCGTTATGAAGATGTGGTGCAGTCACCTCCAATCCCTAAGACTGTTCCACACTCTGCACCTTCATCTTTGAAATCAGAATCCCTCCATATGAAGCCGGCCCAAACTTCAGCCCAGCCAAAAACTACCACACTTACCAATGGACTTTTGCACACACACACTCTAGCTCCACCATCAATCTCATGCTCTCAATCTAGTTCCTCTCCAACTCACTCTCTGTCCCCTCTTTGTAGCTCCCCAACTCCACCTTGCTCACACACTCCACCAGCATCCCCCATGGAAGCTCTTTACATTGAGGAGGAAGAGGCAGATATTGGAAAGATCGCAGATCAAATCTCACAACAGACACACACTCCAACTAGAGGACTGAACAATATCCATAACAAAAATGGCACTGTGTTGGGCCAACACTTGTCCCATCCTCACACAATCCATAACTCTTCAAATAATTTGCCGGCCAGCTCTGGTTACATCCCACCTTGGCATACATCTCCCTCCCTAACAGTCTCAAGACCCAAATCTACTTCACACAGGAATGATGACATTGACAAGCTACTGATAGATTTGGAAAATCTCTCTCAGAGTATGAGTCATCCCAGAGGCACAGAGCCTCCGCTTCCTGCTAAAACCAGAAAAAAGGAGGGAGGTCAGGGAATTAACTCCAATGAGTCTATTGTTCAACACAAAATGTCCCAGTTCCAAGTCCAAAAACCAGCCAGCCACTTAACTATGAATGGTCTCAGTCCTGTGACATCCCAGAGTTCCACAACTCCCCATAGAACGGGCACTGAAGCTGTGGCTGGAGAGGAAGAGGAAGATGGGGCTCTTTTGTTGAGAATTCTTGAAAGCATTGAGAGTTTTGCCCAAGAGCTGGTGGATTCTGGAGCAGGGAGTACAGGGAGTGCTGAGAGAAAATGTGGGAAAGAGCGGGAAGTAATGAGACTCCTGCAGGATACACTGGCCACCACTGACAGGTGTGACACTCCTGTGGATAGCTCAAATCCACTAGCTGCTTCCATTGCTACATCCATCGACACAATTGGAGTCCCAGAAATTCCGTCCAAAAGCACCCAGGCAAATACAGCTGCAGTGTCCCCTTCACCAACACCCATACCTGCAGTATCTGAAGCTGAGTGTGTTGCTGCACTTGAATCTGCACCTGAACCTACAATTGATGCTGCACCCAAACCATTGCCTACAACAACCTTGAGGGTAGATACAGTTACAGAATCCTCTACCAGTGAAGTTCAGTCAACATACACCCCTGAATCCAGAGAAGCTACAAACTTGCATTCTTCCCCCCATGATGATGACCTGACACACTCGTCCTCACCTGAGCCTCCAACTGGAGAAACCACCAGAGATGCTGCCATAGCTGTCGGTGAACCTGTCGGTGAACCTATCACATTGAGAGACCCAGGCTCGACCCTTCTCATCCAGCAGACTCCAGAGGTGATCAGAGTAAGTAGCACACACGCACACACGCATTTAAATACATGAAATTTAAAGCTGTTGTTGGAAACAGAGGTCTTTGTATTTTAAGATAAACATTTGTTTCTCTGGCTGATGTGAAGATTCTCTATGTTGAGGGTAGCATGCATGTGGAGGATGCAAAGCAGATGTGTGTCTCACTGTATGGACACCTCCACACTTCCATTTCTTCATATGTCTCCCATTGTGGACAATGGCTGCAATACTGTGTAGCTTTAATTTGATCTAGGTTAAATGTGGTACCGCATGGCTGCATATGCATTGATAATGTAATTGGCAGTATGAAGGCATCTGAACAATAAGACACATATACATACAGCCAGATATTAATATTTGACTTCCAAAAGGCAGTTTGATGGTCAATTTGATTGCTTTCAGTGAGGGATGTGTAAAATGGCTACAGTTTCATCATTACGACAGGGCCGATTCTGCTCCATCTGATGGGCTGTGGTGATTAGTGGAATCAAGCATGATGGACATGCTGAATCAGTTTTCTTACCTAAGGTTGAACAAAAAGGCTTAATCTGTGAATCATAGAAGAAAATAACTCATTGTCTTAGGAAAGGCTCTCTATTGACTTTTCCTGGTTTTTAGTCTGTGTTTTGTTTCATGTTTTAGAGTGTGTGTATTGCTTTGCTTGCTGGAGAATTTTTAAGTTATTTTAAGGTTGTGAGTGTTGTTTTCCTATTGTGCATACTATTTTTTTTGCAATAAGTACTGATGGTGCATTGTTGATTTAAGAAAGTATAGTTAGCCTGCCCCTGATTTTGGTGCTCAACATCATGTTGTGAATATAGGTGATTGTGTATCACATCATAGACCATAAAATAATCTCTATTGTCATTATCCCTTTCCCTGCTGAATTTTACACCTGTAAAATCACTATTTTACATCAGTCTGATCAACACACTCCTGGTTTAGTTTCTACATGTTAAATTACTGAGCCGGGTAACCTTATGCCCTGCTGGTACATAGACCACCTATTTATAAGGTTACCATGGCAGCTGCCACTGCTAAAATGGAACAGCCTGGAAACGAACAAATATTACACAATGTAACTCCTCCGTCCGTCTGCCAGCACTCCTTCCTGTTCACCTCTTATGGTTTTCTGCTTATCAGCACCCAAACCTAATTTAGTATCTTTTTCAGTCAGCATCATCTTTTTAAACAAACTTTCACTACTTTTTTTAATGACTTTGTGTCCATTTTTGTTTATTTTTTATGACCTTCTTCCACCTGCAGGCATGGAGGAAGTCCATTTTGACCACTGATTCTCTTTTTGCCTTGTGATTGGTCACTGTGATATTTTGGGAGAGTTGAATAAGAGTTGTTGCTGTGTGGACGGCAGACAAATGTAATGAGGGTTGCTGATTGGAGCACAGCAGGAGGGGGGAGGGAGGATGGGTCTTTTGGCACACCAAGTGTTAATGGTATCGTTACCCCACAGCCCCCTCCATCCCTGGTGGAACTAGGTGTGAGGGAGACCTAAATCTGTCCACCCCTCTGTACTATGGCATCCCGCTAACAGACTCACTGTCGCCACAGTGTAAATGGACCTGTGTATGTTTGAGTGTGTCGGAATTTGCATGTTTTAAGCAGGCCTTGTGTTTCCAGGTGTGCTTCTGTGCTTACATTTTGCGTGTGCGCTTATGCAGTTGCATATACATACCTAATAATCACACATGACTGTGTCCGAGTTGGTGGATGTTTTTCAGTCTCACTAATGCTGTGTGTTTGTTGGCCGATGGGTAAGCTGACCCAGTGCTACCGTGGGTCACAGCTGAGTTTGGGAATAGCTCCCAGACACCCAACACTGACACAGGCACTCTGGGAATTATGCTAATATTCTTCAGCGCCAACCCCAGCCCCTGCCTCAGTTACATTAAACTGCCACTCAACCTGTAAACTAGGCAAGCTCCCCATGGTGAAAGTGAGCAAAAGTGTTCTCACACTGTAAATGCTTAAACAGTCCACCTTTGTGCATACATATATTTTCAGTTATCTGCGCATCTTAAGATCAACAAAATTCTAACCTCTCTTATCAACTACATATTTATGATGGATCAGAAAATTCCTACTTACAGTCCGGCAGCAGCTTCCACTAACAAGAGTACATGCACGGCCAAGTATGTGACACTGGGAATGGAGATGGTTGCTTATGTGAATGTTTGATTATACAGTTTACATGTTTGAACTCTCTCTTGCAGTGATGAGTAGTTAGGTTAAGACCTCTGGGTTATCATTGGGATGTCAGTCTGTAGCAACCCCATCTCTGCTTTCCACATATTCATTGTAGATTCTGCTGTTGACACACTAAAAAAGGGCTTTCTGCACCTGTCAGAAACTACCCATTAATCTCCATGGTGACTGTGATGCCAGCTGATGTAAACCAGTGGTAGGGCTAAATCATTCCAACTCAGCAGGGAGATTTGGCAACAGTAATCCTCAGAGTTGAGACAACTACTTTGGTTTGTGATACACGGTGTCAGTGTCTGTTTTTGGGAGCAAGTATTTTTGCTGTTATTTTTTCCAGCGTAGTCTGTGGTGACATGATTTACAGACACACTGACTGGCTGCATCTAGAGCTGCCAATCTGATGGCTTAATTAACTCTGCTGATTTAAATGTTTTTTGCCAGTGACCTGGGGATGTGTTACTAAGCTAAAATAGCTCAGCCCCACTCCTCCCAAACTTATAAACAGTAAACCCATGACTCTTGAGGCTTCTGACCACTTGTTTGAGATTTTTGGTTGCCCCTTCTCTTTACACCTTACCAGCATGAGTAAGTGTCAGATACATTTTTGTCACATTCATATGCTTGTGACAAAAATCTCACAAGCATATGAATATTCACACCTTAGATTACGCAATATCTCATTTGAGCTCCTACCTTTTGACTTTTTCTGCCCCTATTTGTTTTCAGATGGAACACAAAAGGGAATTGTTGACTCTTAAGACAGAAAATGTACAACTTTTATGGGGGAAGAAGGCCTGAAACAGGACACAAGGAGCGATAAAGAGGAGGAAGTAAGAGTATTAGGGGAATACAGGATGGATGAATGTCTATATGGAACAGCAGGGGAGATTTTTTGTGTGTGTGCAGTTTTCTTTTGGAAAATAATTCACAGGGATTAAAAATAAGGCACAAAGAAAGAAAACACAAATAAGTTGGAGACTCATGGTGCTGGGGGAGGGTCGTGTCGAGCGACTCTTCAGTGTGCAGTTGTTGACTCTGGGTCGGCAGGGGATGACATCATTCCTCGGCTGCTTCCACAGGAAATAAGGTCACAGCAGGAACCTTGGCCAAGCGTGGAAAGTTGCCCATTTAAACTTAGGTGCAAACACAGTTGAATGCATTCACTTAGGCACACACACATATGTGCATACAATACACTTCCAGAACAGGGAATTGGTTGCTGTGTGTGTGAGGTTTCCAAAACAATTCAGACCATCAAAAGTAGCCTGGACAACTGAGCACTCTCCATCCTGTCCTAAGATACACTCATTCAAATGACCGTACTGACCCTACCCACTTTACCTTTGTATTCATCTTTTGCAATGGGGATGTGTGTGCACATGCAGGCACATTATTTTGAATGTATATAATAATTCTCCACTCCCACTGCTAGCATATCATCCAACAGTTATTCCCCGTGGGAGTACATTTTTGACAGATGCACACATGCCAACTTTTTTATTTAGTCACTTTTTCATCTATCTATAAGTCTAAAGCTCAGTGGGAGTTACAACTGCGTAACTCTTTGAGCCTCCCTGTGGGTCTCTGTGGAAACCACCACAACATGTCTATAAGCAGTAGGTAGTGGATGGGACTCCCCTATCCCAGAATATCAGTTGTACAGTGTGATTGGCTGAAGGGGACTCCCTGTTAGAATCATGGCACCAGGGCAGATCAGACGGAGGCTGAATGTTTTCAGGTTTCAGAACTGCTGTGTTTATGTGGGTGTGGTTGGCTTTTTGTGTCTTTTATCATGCATGGTCGTGCATGTGCCTTTGTTTCCATATAAAAGAGTTTGCCAATGTTCCAGAACGTCATGAGGCATGGGTGTCAACAATACCCGCCCGCCTCAACTCTTTCCAGTCAGTTATTTAACTATCTCCCTTTGAACACAGCCTGTGCAAAGCTCCACCCAGTACTAGGCAACTGTTGTTCTCCAAAAAAACTCCTTAATTCTGTGATGTACCCTACAAGTCAGCGTCTCAGGATTTATGCTCAGAAACTGTGTGTCCTGAATTATCAGAGGATATATTTTCTCTGATATAAGGTGCTGATGCATTTTAAGACAGAGCACAAACAATCTTTCAATCAAGACAGTGTTTCTCATGTTATTTACAACTGGTGTACAAGACTGTATAATGGCAGACAATTAGCATGTGTAACGTTTTCATGGTTTATTAGAAAGTGGTTATCATCACGCATATTTCTCTCTTTTTCAGCTGAGGTAAATTTGGTTGTTTCAATCTTATTTGACATAAGATTCAGCCTTATTTAACATAAGTCATGTGCAACACACCTGTGAGACTTTACAGCGCTATGGTTCTGATATAGTTTCAGACAGAGAGCTGCTCCCCTCTAGCGTCTCTGGGACCTTACTGTGCCACAGATTGCTCTCAGCTTGCAGACAAACCGTAGTGAAATAAGGATGAACTGTAGCTCCATCTACAGGATGATCTCTTAAATTAACAGTATTTCTGGATTTAAGGCAATCCATTTCCTGAACGTTTATTTTTTAAAGTACAACATAGAGCTGGAAAGACTGCTGCATTTAAAAATAATAACACAATATACTGCAATTGTGACATGATAATGCAATGGCTATTGGGAGGGAGAGGTGTTACAAAATGTGCTGCAGAGCTACCTGGTTATCTTACGCACATATTTATCTATTGACATTCCTTTCAATTATTTGTATTAAAAAAAAACAGGAGGCTTTACTGTACTGTTGGGATAACATTCAAACTGAAGCTCCAGGCTGAAGCTTGACGGTCTTCCTGATGAAGGATTAGCTCACTTATTTTAAATGCTATGACAGATATAGGGAAGGTAATGCAAAACCTGCCCTGTAGCCATGTGGTTAGATATGAAATTCTAGTTAAGGCCTGGAGTTTGTTATTTTTAAACATCAGATGTAAACAGGGTGCTGCTCCAGGTGAGAAAAGTGATTTAGTGGGCAGATTTTTAAGATATGTGGTTTGGATGTTCTCCAAGAAATAAGCGGTGAGTTGACATATAAGCTTTTCTCCTTCTGTGACTACAAAGGAGCCTCTTGATAAGTGTAGATTAATACTTTGATGCATATATTAGCTGTACTCTTGTTAATGAAAAAAAAACACTCATACCATTAAATGGGTTAGAATATCCTGTGATGAGCAATTGGAGCATAATTGACTGCTTTAGCATTTTACAATTAATTGTTGTAATGGGACAGTCTCTTCTTCCACTCAGACAGTTAAAGCAGCTGTATTTTTAACTACTCCCATGTTGTCGTCCTCTGATTCGGATGTGAAGTAGACCGTGGCCATCACTGATTCACTTCATCTATCACGGAAGCAGCTCTTGAACTCGGTTCATTATTCCGATTTCAGAGTGAGGGTTCCCAAGGTAACTTTGTTTGTGTGTGTGTGTGTGTGTGTGTGTGTGTGTGTGTGTGTGTGTGTGTGTGTGTGTGTGCATATCCATGTGCATGTGCTTATGTGTGCTTTTTTGGGAGGAAGTGAGACAGAGAATAAAGAACAGAAGAGCAGCAATGTGAACTGTTTCCCGCTCTTGGCACGGTTCCCTTGAGAGCATTCCTCCCACCATTCTATCCAGGGAAAGGGTTATTGCTATGGAGATGGCATTTGGCAGGGCTGGTCTAAAGTGAGATAGTGCATAATCGCATGGATGGGATAGGATAGTAGCCTGTTTTGTCTGAAATCAAGTTCAGGTTGAAACATTGTTTGTACTTGTATACATCTGTAGTAGCTGAACTGGATAAAATAGCAATAAGTCAAGCTGTATGGCTGACAAACATTTATCACATTAAGGAAACCTATATGCTGAAGAATAAAAATATCTGGATGAACATTTTCATAGTTTAATAAAAATTGTATATAGTTTAGTTGCATACAACACAACTATAAAGACAGTCATGTCTGGAAATATGAATCCATTTTCTTTAGCTGTTTAATCTGAAACTGCATTCAAAATGAAGGAAAAGCACATTTTGCCCAAGTATTCTTTTCTTATCAAAGATCAAAGGAGGTTAAGCTCATTAAATCCTACTCTGATTTTTAAAAACTATTTTGTTTTGGCATGTAATGATTATTGTTCTTCTTTTTTTCATTAGCTATTTTCTCTGAAGTCAAACAGATAAAGTAACTGGACAGTTTAATCACCCACATTTTTGGGGTATTGTTATTTCTTCATCAATTTGGCAGGTAAAACGTGTGAGCTCAACTCATAAAGTTGCCCAAGCATTTGGGAAGATGTTGAATCCACCTTGTTCAGCTTCTCTGGCTTTTAGTGCATGTGAAGTGGGCCATTCCTATAATGGATCAAAACTAATCTATCAAAGAGAAAGCAAAAAATCAGTCCCATTAGCAGTGAACAAATGTACTTTCTCAAGGAACAAAATCTCTTTGGGTAGATCAGTAACATTAAAAGCATGAATGTCCACATAGGATGCCAGTGAATATAATGATACAGTAAGTCCATAAAGACATTTCTTCATGCTATGTGTGTAGATACTGCACCCCCTGCACTTCAGTAGGATAAACTGAAGATTAAATAGAGAATGACAAAAATGATGAACATCATAAAAAATATCACACAGGCTCTCCAACAGCCCTCTTTGAAGTGAAGCTATTGGAAGTAAGAAAAACCTGAACTAAAACAAAGGAAAGGATCAGGATCCAACGCACAGAATCTCGTCTGTTAAACACATGGAAAGCCGTGTGATGCATGGGCAAGCATGACTTCCAGTGCAACCGGGTCATAGTGTATATTGATGATGTGACAGAGGACAGAAACAACCAGATAAACTCTGAAACTCGTGAAGATCTACTGTCCTCCCATATTCATCCAATGCAGCAAAACACTGGCTGACACTTACAAGTACAAATGGAAATGACACATTCAGTAACTTCAGATCAGATGCAGTCCAAGAACTGATGTCAACCGTATCCAGCTGTGTTTCACATGCAAGACACAACTAAAGGCAACAAGCCCCAGCAAAGGCCCGTTAACCATCGCAAAAGTACCCCCACATTCATAATGTTTAATATGTTTAATGTTTATAATGTTCAAGTTGTTAGGATTTTCAACTATGCATAGTTAATGTACTACACAACATGAGCATGCAAAAATGTCCAGACCTAAAATGTCCAAAACTACAAACCCAAGCATCTCTAGAAATGTTTTTGATATATGTGTGTGACTGTGTGAGTGTGTGTTGTAAACCCATCTCTGTATGTGTGTGTAAAGTCTGCCTGGTGCCTGAAGCAGAAATAAATATGAAATCAGCGGCTATATTTACATAGATAACTTTACATGCAGCCAGTTTTGTAGAGCAGCTGTGTGTGTGAGTGTGGGTGTGTTTAGGAAGTCGTTGTTCACACTATTTATCTGCTCTTGAAGACAGAAAGAAACAGTTCCTGTTAAGTCAATCCATCAACGCTTACATGCACACCCACACAGACCCAATCTAACATTGTGTGTATCCATTGTAAGTCCTGAAGGACAACATAAGTCCATGTCCAGCGTGTATTTTTCAGCTTGATAAAGGGATCTGGACAGATGCCTTCTCCAGAGCATATTTGTGAAAGTCACTTTTCTTTTCCCTAAAGGTCTCCACAGATGTCAGATGTGACACTATACTTGCTCCCCAGATATACTCCTCACACAACTCAGTTCTTTATTTCAGGCTCCATTTCTTATTAATACAGGTCTTTGATTAATAGTTGGTATGAGAGTAAAATGTGTTCCCTTTGAAATTACTCTACATATAATTTTGTGTAATATATAGCATGTGTGTGTCTTTCTATTATTAATTTTAGACTGAGTTTCAGCACTGCTAACTGCATATATCCATCCTAAGAAGAACAGTGTGTTCCAGAGGTTCATTTCATGTCATCTGAGCAGACATACTGAGCAGACTACATTCTGTTCAGAATCTTTAAAGGAGTTGGCACTCACACTTAAAAAGTATCCTATAAGAAATTCTCTCAAAGGTTATGTTGTAATAATGATTTATTTGTTATAATAGACAAGGTACATTTTATTTGACGTATTTTTGAAAATACGTGTTAGTTTAACGTACAATTTAAATAAAACTCTCTATTTACTATCATATTTACGCTTCATTTACCATTTTCTGCCTTTTAATTTGTGTGCTTTTAGTTTTTTAGAGTTCTGTTAATATCACATTTTGCTGTGAGACTGGGAAGAGGGGAAGTTTTCTTTTTGTCTGTAATACCCATTTTTGGGGCAATCTTGTATCTTAATTCACTTGTGGTCATCATCCTCACAACTATATTTTTTTGCTTGGTAGCTTACATGGCAGGTTTGATATGTGGAGGAGGGTTTTGATATTCAAGAATGCGGGGTGGGTTTTAGGACCAAGCACGGAGATTTTGAAAGGGCAGGGTTGCACTGACTGTCAGTCAGGCCGGAAAAGAGCACACAGCTGCCCAGAGGCATCTGTTAGGGCTCCCTTTACGCACTCATACTTACTGCCACACAGGAACTGTACGTCTTTATTTAGTGATTTGTGATTTCATAAATGCGGAGCTACAGCTGAAAAGGTGGTGCAGAGGAAATGGTGGGAACTGACATTTAGCGGTCAGTTTAATACAAGATTAAAAGTAATAAATGAATAGAAGTGGGCGGGGGTTGAGTTGTTGAACTTGAAATGATGAGAATCCCTCTTCCTGTCCGGTGGTGACTGTATAATATTGCATAGATGTGAGAGGATGTTGGACAGAAGACAATGTGTTTGTGAGTGCATAACTATGTGTGGGTTAGGTATGTGACCTTGGCTTCTGAGTAGAGTCCAGTAGTTCCAAAGAATCCAGAATCCAGAATCCAGAAGGCCGCACAGGGAGCTGAGAGGAGTTACCCAAAAACTCAAGGTGACCCACTTATTGACTGGGAACATTTTCGCACACAACCTAAACCTAACAATGGACATGTAGGTGTCAGCTACTATTCCTGTAGTGTGATGAATGCAAACTGAAAAGAATAATACCATCAATTTAACATATATAACTGTATAATACATTACATTCCTTAAAAGTGATATAAAAGAAAGTTGCTGTCATGTATGTAATTTTGGGGGTTTTAAAGGTTTGAAACAATTATTTTTTAGTCTTTTAAATGTTTTAATCCAAGACAGGTGATGTATTCCTTAAAAAATGTAATCCTGCTTAATGACCCACCATACGAATGATGCCTGAGAAAAAATGCCTGAGAAAAAAATGTTTCTTTACTTGTGAAAGCTCTAATGGATCTCTGTTCAATGGGCCATCAAGAAACCTTGACAGTTCTTTGAGTTTTCACTTGCCACAGGCTACATTCTTTTGGAGTATCCTCAACACTTTGTTAATCCATTAGACTTTGATGGATTTTAAATGGAGAGGTCTCTTCCCCCTCCGCCTGATGAGTGCCACTTGGCCCTGAAAATGTTCTCGTCTGGCTTGGCAAAGTTTATAGGAGAGACCTCCTTTCCACTGGTCAGTGCTAACGGTCAAACTCTGTTTGTACGAATTAGCTATCAACATGTAAAATGATCCAGTGTACCACTGTGTTTACTTTTTCCCTACAAGAAACTGCTATTTTCTGAAGCCATGCATTGAATTTGTATTTATTGATATCCAAATGGCTCCAGCTGTGACTTGAAATTGAATCAGCATTGATAGGGATTATTAGTTTCAGCCTTAATCCACGGTGGCAGTCATGGATTTGAAAGATTTTGGTGTTCAAAGTGGAATGCCGTTTGAATCCTCTCTGAGCTTGTCCGGTGGAAATACTCCATGTCAACAGATCAAACAACAGGTGCTCTGCCCGCTGATTCATCACTCCATCTCAGATTACGTCTTTGAAAATATTTCAGCTTACTTGTCCTACACGTGTACATGAGGCACTAACAAAAGCTTCCCCTCTGCTGTAAAATCATTTCAACCACTTCTTACTGGATAACTTTAGTCCAAGCCAGGGACTGAGGAGGATTCAGGTCCTGCAATACCCGACACACAGATAGGCCACTTGCTTTCGCACAACACACATCCTACACAGCTCAGGACAGCCGGTTTGCTGTGTGTAGGTGTGCTTGCGGGTGTGTGTATTGCCAGCTCCCAGCATGGCTCATGTTTCTTAGTGCAGCTTGTCAGAGCCCAGCTTGGAGCAGGAGGCACCAGAAAGGCAACGGCAAATTCGTGCATCCAGAGCTGACATGGGGACAACTTCATGGTTTCTTGCCTTGAAAAAAGCTGTGGTTTGGGATTGCAGATGGCCATAAAACTGCGCATTACCATGTGCGTGTCTGCCGTTCTGAACTATTGCACAGTGTGCCTAAAGAGCACCCCTTTCCACAGATACACTGCTGGATTACTAGAGGACTCAGCTTTGGAGTTCTGAGCACGAACGTGGGGTTCAGAGATTTTTTCAGCGATTTTAAAAAAAAAAGACTATTTTCTGGAACTCATGCACATCCTGGATATTTTACTTTCCTAAGGTTTTTTTTTCTTTTGGTCACTGGATATCTAAGCTGCTGCGTAGGCCTCTTTGTTACAGTTCTCTTCAGTGTTTTGGTTGTTGGGTCAGCCGGTTCATCTGCCCTCACAGTGTGAGTAGCAGGGCTAGTGGCCGTGTCTGGTCGGGTGTTGCAATACTCGGCCCACAACATGATGATCAAGGAGACATCGTTGCGGCGGGACCCTGACTTGAGGGGGGAGCTGGCCTTTCTGGCCAGGGGGTGTGACTTTGTACTCCCCTCACGCTTTAAGAAAAGGCTCAAGTCTTTCCAGCAGCAGCAGGTCAGTCAGTTCAACAGGCCGGATGGACACGTCATAACAAAATGTTGTTGTGTCAGATAACAAAGTGTCAGATATGTTGACATACGTTTGATGATGTAAACATCTGTTTTGTAAGCACTTTATCTCAAAATGTGAAGACACGTGTTTAATGAATAGGGCCGTAGATGCAGAAGATGTTGCTCCCATACACACCGAGTTACATTCCGGGCAAACTATTCTGAGGCAGATACTGGTGGGATATTAATAGTGCAGGAGGTGCAGGAATAGAGTGATAGAATGAACGCTGTGAAGGAAATGACTGCTACAGCTGTCCTGTTCAATACACACATTATGGAGGCCCAAGAGAAGACACCAGGGAGCCCCTTCTGGAGCTTTCCCGGGGTTAGACTCAAGCCAGTTGATTCATTTCTGGTATTTGAATGAAATCTCTTAAGTTTCCATGCCACCCCTGACGCAAGACCACAGGTATTGGACTCGACATGTCATCTCATCATTCATTCATGGTAGTGTAAATTGTTGTCATGCGAAGTCGGCCATGTGAGATTTTGTTGGTAATAAAATGACCCTGCTCTAAGCTTCTCCTTTGGACCGCATGTTTGGATGCTGCATTTCATACGCGTCTTTTTGTCTCTCAGTGCTACATAATGTGAATCATGCATTGTGTTACGATTATGAATCAAACAGAATAAAATTCAGGAATATTCTATGTGTCAGTCATTTTTAGGTGAGGCATTTACATTTTTAGCTTTTTTGGTGTGTTTTTTAAATTCATAGGTTTCTTTGGATGGGTTTCGTGTTGGGATCTCAAATTTTAGTGCACAGAAGAAGACATATTTGAATCTTAAGGAGATAGATTAGATTATAGGCAGAGTAATGCTAAGCCCATCTGTGTTGTTTGCTTGCTTTATTATAGTACTAAGGACTTTTATCTATAGTGGTAAAGCCTGCATGACCCTGACTGCTACACTCTTGCACGACTTCAAATAAAATTCAGCCTACTTTGTGTTTGTCTAGCTGATGAGGTGACAAACAACTTGCTAAAAAAGTCTCCTGTTGCAGTTTGCTGCTGCCCACTGTTTCCACCTCGTCCCTTACATAGGTTTGTGGCGTAACATTTTGGTATCTTGGCAACAGTTTTGGGAAAGTAAAACTTGAAAGTAATTCCATTTTTAAAATTTACCTCAACTGTCGCAAAAACAAATGTTTTTGTGTTATTAATTCAAATAGAAGAAGTAGTTTTAATTTAGAGCAATAAACATCCAGAAAAAGACGGCAGTAAACCCATCCTTCACTATCCTTTCCATATGCCTGAAATTCTCTCTTTGTCTTTTCAGGTCCAGTCCAAACCAGAGAAGAAACCAGGAACACCTCCGCCAGTACCTGCCTCAGCCCCCGTTCCACCAGCCCCTGCACCACGCTCACCCAGTCCTCCCCCAGCTCCGGTGGTAGTCGCACCTCCTCCCCCAGCCGTTAACATTCCCAAGTTCTACTATCCCCGTGGGCTCCCTGCCCTGGGCCCTGCTGCCAACCATGATGCAGCCATCACTGCCATCGAGACTTCCTTCACCGACTTTGAGGAGGAAAAGGCTGACATATATGAAATGGGAAAGATTGCAAAGGTTAGCTATAAGAAAAATTGATAGATAAATGCTACTCGTGCTTATCATTTTGAATAGGGAAGGGGCTGGAAGGAAGAAATCCCAATCAGTCTTGACCTTAACAAATGTCTTTTATCTTTAATGTATTTATTACAGGTGATTAAAGGCTGTTTCTGGACAACAAACACATGTTTTATTCGTACATTGAGATTAGTTCTGCATGGGTTTCTGTTTAGGTATGTGGGTGTCCCCTTTACTGGAAGGCCCCCATGTTCTACGGAGCAGGCGGTGAGAGGACGGGTTTTGTGTCAGTTCACTCATTCATCGCAACGTGGAGGAAGTAAGACAAACCTAATTTTCCTCAAGGTCTAATGCTTGTATTTGAAATTATTTACAAATCTTTGCCTTTCTTCCTCTGCAGGTTGTTGCACAGTTGCCATGATGATTCTTCAAGGTTTATTTCCTTGCTAGCTAAACCTGGCTGTAACTACTTGGAGCAGGAGGACTTTATTCCTCTACTACAGGTAGGTGTCTGATCGGCATCCCAAGCATTACACATCTTATACTATACCCTGTTCTTATGACATATATGGGAAAATAAGATCTTTGTTTTTTCCTCTCTGTGCTATTTCAATTAGGATATTGTGGACACACATCCTGGGCTCACATTTTTAAAGGATGCACCTGAATTCCACTCACGCTACATAACAACGGTAAATGTTATGTCATTAGTATTATGTGTTCCAGTTCATTCTGACTGTATTTTGAATTGAAGTGCCTTTGTTTTTGTCTGATTTGCGTATAATTTGCTACTGAGTTTCCTATAACCAATAAACCATGATGGTCAAATCAGTATCTAATACAAATAACCTTGTAACGTGGTGCCAGCTTCTATAAACCTCAGCTGTGTAACATTAGAGTGTGCGCCCCTGTGAATGTGGACTGGGACAGCTGCAACACGTGCTACAGAAGTCGAGGGTTTGCTTCACAGAGTTGCAGAGATGCTCGGCTGCGTCTGTGTGCAGTGACATCACGGAAACACTGCTGCCTGCCCTCAAAGCCCATTTGCAGTTGAGACCCTGGCCTGCTCCATGCCCATTTTAAGACACTTCCCCTACAGTTTAGGTCAGCTGACCCGCTACTGTATGAGACATTAGTAGCCCTGGGAGGTTCTTGTACCAGGAAATGGTTGCTAATCCGCTCTTGGCTGGACTAAGTGTTGTGTTTCAAAGACAGGATGCCTGCCCCACAGGCTCCCATTGATTATAAATGAGAACTTACATATCTGTTTTAAATGCTCTTAGCAGGATGAGGGTCAGGTTTTGTGCTATTTTCATTTACTCATCCAATCTGAGGGCTTCAGTGTTAGCCTTTACATTCAGAGTATTGTATTTCCTACAACACAGTCAAATGCCCTTTATAACACATACAGGGACCAAAGTGAAATGATAAAAGAAGTTAAGGAAAATCCCAGGGAACCATGTGTAACAGAAGTCTCTACTGTTTTGCACAGGTTATGTGGTAGTCGGCACCGTAATGTAATCTCCTAAAATAAAGATTTCAAGGAAGATGGAATACCTGTAATACCCATTATAAGCCTAATAATGTGTTTTAAGACAACTCGAACAATACAACGAGCTGTAAGAAAGGTAAAAACAATGCAAGTAATTCTGAGAAAAATTCCCAGAAGATTAATTCTCCAAAATATTTAATATTAATGTATATTTAAAACAGTCACGCTTAAAAGTGCATCCGCTTCTATACATGATAAATCATCATCTAATCTCTCAACTCATTGGGGACTAATTTTTACCCACTCTTCTTTATGCTGCATCCATTCATTAAGATTTGTCTTCATTTTTCTGTGCAAAGATCTTAGTCGCCCCACTGCAATTCAGGCTGAGTCCTGGACACTGACTAGGCCACTGCAACATCTTGATTCTTTCCTTTTTCTGTCATTCTGTTGTAGAAATGTTGAATCATTGTTGTGTTGCATGACTCAGTTTCAGCTGAGTCATGCTGTTGACTCTGGAATACTTTGGGATATAGAGAGTTTGCAGCTAACGAGCCCATATCATTACACACCCACGAACATGGTCGATGGTTTGCTCGAGCTATTTTGAGTTTGCCCACAGTTTTTCCACTAAGCCTATTTATTTTATGCCGCTTTACAAAACTAAGTTTAGCTTCTTTGTTCTTTTTAGAATGAAAAAACTTTATTGTGGCAAAGCTTCATTTTCTGAGGATGCTATCATGAACGAAAATATCTATCCCTAAGTTACATCTGTTAATAGGCGTCCAGTCATGGGAAGAATGGCAACTGACCTGAATAATTTCCCGATGGGAATAATCTTTGTTACTGTAAAATGAGAAAAGAAAAGTATAATAACACAGTGTAATATGTGTGTTTCTTCACCTCAGGTCTTATTTACCTTACTTTATAATCTGGTGAGGATTAGTATATAATTATGTCCTGATACATAAAGCCTTGGACAAAATATAAAAAAGGTCTAGTTTCGGCATCACATGACCCTGAATCTGTTTTCATCTGCTTCAGTCTGGGATGATTTTTTTTTAAATTTTGTACTCTGTGTTTTATCTGATGTCATTGAATATGGGCCCTCATCTTTTCATATAAATCATATTCCCTCACACAGAACTAATACTTGTTTGTTATGCTTCCATAGGTGATCCAGCGGATATTCTATGTGGTGAACCGCTCATGGACGGGCCGCATCACCATGATGGAAATGCGCAGAAGTAACTTCCTACAAACTCTTGCCCTGCTAGAAGAAGAGGACGACATTAACCAGATCACTGACTACTTCTCTTACGAACACTTCTATGTCATCTATTGTAAATTTTGGGAGCTGGACACCGACCATGACCTTTACATTGACCCCAAAGACCTGGCAAGATACAATGACCACGGTAAGAACAGCAACTAAGCTCTTTGTTTGTTTTGACAAACTGCTATAACGTGCATCCATATAATTTTCATTGGGGTTATCTCACAAACTTAATTTGGAAGATAGCTAAATCTGCGCTCATTGTTCTGTTATTTTATGCAAAATGTAGTTCACGGTTTCACTGCTCACTTCACCATTTCGTCAGAATTCAATTCTTCTGAAATAGTAAGAAGTATAAACTTAAAAAAAATCTTATTTGGACAAAATCACATTTACTTGTTTTTGTCATCCCCCTGTCCGACAGCATCTTCCAGCAGAATCATTGAGAGATTGTTCTCGGGGGCCGTTACTCGGTCAGTGAAAACACACCCATAAACAAACACAAAGGAGCTGATTACCTCACCATAAAAGCCGTTTTGAATGTGAGAGGATGTTTCTCTTGTTTCCAGGGGCAACGCTGTGCAGAGAGAGGGCAGGATGAGCTACGCTGAGTTTGTTTGGTTTCTCATATCTGAGGAAGACAAAAAAAATCTGACCAGGTAGTAAGCAATTACCCAGATGTGTGCGACTGAGCATCTGCCTGAGCGTTTTCAGCCACTGTTGTGTGTCTGAAAAATACTCAGTAGCCGATTTATCTTTTTCATGAAATTATGGACAGTTTTTTTTGTTTTTGTATGTATGCTGTGGGTTACTAATAATACATATCACTGCATTTATAGTATAGAGTACTGGTTCCGCTGCATGGATGTGGATGGGGATGGTGTCCTGTCCATGTTTGAGTTGGAGTATTTCTATGAGGAACAGTGTGAGAGGATGGAAAGAATGGGCATCGAACCTCTGCCCTTCCAGGATTTGCTCTGCCAGATGCTCGACCTGGTCAAACCCGAGAATTCAGGTTGGAGATCTCTGACATGCAGCTACTGTGCATTACATCAGCCAGAGATCCTAACACATGGGTATGTTTCTTTCAGGTAAGATAACCCTGGGCGATTTGAAGCGCTGCAGAATGGCTAACATATTCTTTGACACCTTCTTCAACTTGGAGAAGTACCTGGACCATGAACAAAGAGATCCATTTGCTGTGCAAAAGGTACATGATATATCTGATATATCTTCACCTCTAATATGTAATATCTTGTTCTGTAACGACAGAGCTACCCTTGTTGATCATAGCAAAATGTTATCAAAATATAAAATAAATATCATCACATAATTTTATTGTTTTCTCCTTTTTGCTTCCTAAATTTGCATTAAAGTGTGAAATGTTCATTGTATACTTTTCAAAAGTCATATGTCTGTAAAAACATTCAATTCTGAATATGTTGTTTCAGGATATTGACAGTGAAGGTCCTGAGCCATCTGACTGGGATAAATATGCCGCAGAGGAGTATGAGATACTGGTAGCAGAAGAGACAGCAAATGAACAGCTACATGAGGGGTAAATACTATCGCATATTCAATGTGAATGAGAAAGAAAAAGCAACACATACATATGGTAACTTTTTCAATGTCTGTTGTGCTCTTAGGTCATTTGATGATGACTATGAATCTGAGGACCTTCAAGTCCCTGGAGAGATTGGGAATAAAATGGAAAAACTGGTTATCTCCGACCTATCGGCATAAGTTTCCTTACCTGGAACTGCTTAGCAACTCTCTCTTGGAAACAGTCAGGAGCCAAGTGAAAAAGGGCTTCTTGAAATATGTGGATCCCATAAGATATTGCAAACAAGGACCCTGTACTTCTCCCAAAATGGACATATTGTGTGCGTGTGTGTGTGCGCGTGTGTGTCTGTGTGAGATCGAAAACCAATTTTGTTCTGTGTGTGGTGCAGAAATCCGTCTGTATTCGCAGAAAAAGACAATATCACTGCCTCCAGCTCTTTGGTCCATTTGGGAGAGCAAAGCCAAAGGGGAGGGACAGCTGGTGTTTGATAAGCTCTTAAAGAAGAAAAAAAAAACTACTTAACTGTAAAATAATGTGTTAATGCGAACTCCCTACTGACAATCCCGCAAAGAGACAATCTTTTTTTAAATGTTGCTGCGCCAAAGGTAGACTGACAGGTAGACTGTCAGTTCCACACAGAGTCATAGAAGGCTAACAAACAGCTATGAGGACACGAGAAAGCCTCCACCACCGAAGACCAACGGTCCGCTGCTCAGATGTACGGCGTACATGCAGACACTGCCCTCAGAAACACGCTGTCTGCGCAGCTTGTCATTGTGTTTCTTGTAAAGGAAGTCGTTAACACTTGAGTCCCCTCAAGAGAGGGAGAGGTCATGTAACAGTTTTGGGTGGTTGTACCAGCACCTCCTCTCTGTGGCCGGTATGTGCTACTGCATGCCATCACTGGAGCCGCACGGTGTTGGATGGCCGGATAACATTTCCATGTTTCAGTTCAGTTCACTTCACAGCCCAAGCTGCTCTATTATTAGCGCGGCATTATCAGCACTCCGCGTCTGGACTCCATGTCTGGAGTCACGGGCTGCCATGTTCAAGCCCCGCATTTCACTGTTCTCAGTCAGATTACAGTCAGAGGAGAGCATGTAAAGGGAGGCATGCTGCCAGTCATTTTAAAACTCTCTGGAAGGGTTGTCCAAACATTTCCATTTGTAAAATTGGTAATAATGTAGTAGAATGTGCCTAGGTTTTGTACAGTTCTGTGCCCATGACACGCAGAATATCTCTGAATTTTTTCATACATCCTTCCTTTATCATTTAACAGACAAAAGGTAGACTAGAAACAGGTTTGTCATCAGAGACTGATCACCTACACCAGACAAGGGGCTCATCATTAATGCTTTACACAGAAGAGAATATAGTTTAAAATGGAAAGAAATATCTGGCCATTTTCTGTAAGAATTTGTTTTCTTCCAGGATTTTTTTTTTTTTTACCATTGTCCTTCTGTAGATTAAGCTGGTTTCCACAATGTTTTTTAAATGTGTACAGGGCATGAATTAGATCTCTTATTGTTATTTATGTTGAAGGAAAGTTTCTGTTCTTTTGCAAACAAATTGTTATTTTTATATGAAGCTTTCGTAAGTTCAGTCTCACAGTAACACAAAGCACACATAAAGATGCATCACAATGGGAAAGCACAAACTTTATTCACGGTAAAATATGTTTTAATCATACATCTTGTGATATTCTGCCCGCGAGCAATTATATATATATTTCTTTATTTTATATAGGCTGTATGTTTGATATTTCGGCCAATCTGAAAGGTTTCCCCTGTTACTTAAATAGCTTTGCGTTAAAAGCTCAGATTTAGACATTTCTACCAAATTCTTCCCTGCTATACTTGAGATAAGAGTTTTTTGTTTATGTTTTGGACCAGCAGAAAGAATTTACATCCACCTTATGTAAACAGAAGCTGAAATCATCTAGACAGAAATCTGTAAACAAAGTGAAAAGCCTCAAATTTGCATGTGTAGAACCACTGCATACTCATTTACTCAAATGTATTTACTGTGCTGCACTCAGAGGGACAGGTGCCTGAGGTGCCTGTGTGTCCACTGTGCACACATAGCTAGGAGCATGATAGCTGATAAATAATAGAAGATTGTATTTTATGAGCCATTGTTGTGTTTACGCCAGTTTTAGCCTGTTGGGCTTCTGTTCGGTTTGTAATGCGCACGCTTGGGCTTTTTTATTTAGGAATGAGACAGGTCTTGCAACCTCTGATTAAATGGTATATACCTCCTCTACCAGCACCTACTGTACACAGACACACACAAACACACACACTAAGAAGTCATTTTTATGGAAAGGCAGAAAGAAAACTGTAAGACCTTTAGCCTTACAGCTACTACCCTGTGCTCGCCCTTCTGCTTCATACTGATTGTAAATCAGTCTTACTGTGTACTAAACTTTAACAATTGTAATAAGAAGCCGTTCTAGCTATAATAACCAAGATTTCTTTTTTAAATGTAGTGTCATGGTTTGTATTGCTGTGCCACTGTGTGGCTTGGGAAGGGGGGTAAATTATGTTTGATCTTTGTATGTCTGTGTTTTAAATAGTGGGGTGGATTGTTACAGCAGAAGTGATAACATCTGTCTCTTCCCAACCTGACAATCACACAATTCTATGAGATGGATCTCATACAGAAGCCTTGGAACCTGATGTTTCACTGCTGTGGACACACACACAATTAATTACTTCAGGAGCCCTTTTCACCCTGACAGTATTGAAGAGGAACTGCAATGGACAACAGCACATTTCTGGCTGATATCTTCTTAGCTCTATGCAAAGTGTCCCAGTGCTCGCTCCCGGCGCATTGCGGAAAAAAAGAAGCCATGCAGGACATTCATTTTTAAATCATGTCTTTATATGACAATGTATAGAAAAAGACTTTTATGGGAGACATGATAAGGATGAGCTGTATTGCTAATTGTGCAAGTTGTTGTATTAGCATGATATTTCTTTCTTTCTTTCTTTCTTTCTTTCTTTCTTTCTTTTTTCTTTCTTTCTTTCTTTCTTTCTTTCTTTCTTTCTTTCTTTCTTTCTTTCTTTCTTTCTTTCTTTCTTTCTTTCTCTCTCCACTGTTATTTGTTGCCTTTGTCTGTAGTTTAAGATAAAGTTTAAATAAAGATGTTTAACAAAACATTTATCCTCCTTGCACACTCTCTGTCCTTCCCTCTGATATAAATCCATATATACATGCATATATACTGCCTTCTTCAGTTGGATCTAACACATCCTGCAAATACACAGTCAAAACTGGTATCTGGGTCATTTGAAAACCACGTAAACACCTTCTTTGCTGTCATCCTTAGGCTTTACCAAAGCAGTGTTGTGGAACTTCATCTTTCTCTTCCGGTGTCCATACACTTTCTTGTGTGTCTGCACTGATTATCACGAGTGTACTTTTCATTTATTTCTTAAAGTCCTGTGTCCAGTATATTTCATATTTTTGTTTTTTTGTGTTTTTTTTCTTACCTTTAGCATATTAGTAATTTTTTAGCTATTCATAACAACAATGCATAATGGCTCAAGAAGTAAGTTAAGACAGTATATCGCTTATTGAATTTACATTACATAACTTTAATCAACGAGCTGGAAGGTTTTGCCGCTAGCATTAATATTAGATATTGCTCCAGTGTTCTCATTTATTCAAATGTCAGGATTGTGAAATATTTTTTTATGTTGTGCACTCAAATGCTGCAGACCTCACCAAGGGGCCTTGATCATTAGTTTTAAATATTTCACTGGTAACCATGAAAAATGGCGACTAGTACTCAGTTGGTTGAACTCTGCTTCTTACCATTTTAAATAGGGGTCTTAAAAATAAGTCATCACTTAGGGCGATTGTAAGTCGAAGGGTTTATTGTTCTGAATGCAAGAATTGTTCTAAGAATGTTGTAATAGTTGGCATCGATCCATGTTGTGATTAGTCCATGAACAATTTGCCTCCCACCGAAGGTCAGAGCTCACTGGTCATTGTTTGAAATGGCACTCCGCTTGTTTTCCGCAAATGTCACGGACAAAACAATTAGCCGACCAGATCTTTGTGCCACCTCCCTGAGTCACAAGAATTCCACTGACATGTTGGCCCACACCCACCACCCAATGGTGGTGCGATTCACCAGTGTGATATCATCCGCTGTGATGTCATGAGTGGAAGATAATCTGTAAGGAGGAACAAATGACAGGATTGGCAGAGAAAGAACAAACACAGATTGAGGCTAAACACTGAGCTTTAGATAAAGGTTTCTGGGAAACCCACGAAAATGGCAGAGAATCAGCTGGAGCCAATTCATCTCGCCCGGGAGGGAACAAAGCAGACAGAAATGTGTGCTTGGGTTCTGTGAGGTCTTGAATCAGGAGTGTTGCGCTCATGATACAAATACCAGTGATACCAGAAACATTAGCTTTGGTGTCAGCTGTCTGGAAATTTCCTGGAAAAAAACCAAACTGGAAACAGTTCATCTGAGTGACTCATTCAGATGTGTGTTCCACATGGACCAAGGGTACTGGGTAGACTTGCCATGAAAGCATTTTAAACAACAGTACCAAATAGTTACAGACATGGTAGGCAGCTACAGACAAGAAAAGCTCCACCTGCCCATTGTTTTCCACTGCCAAAGATTCCATTCAGTCATGGCCCTTACTGCAGACGTTCCTGGTTCAAACTGAGCCAAGTATATGGAGTTTGCATGTTCTCCCTTTGTGTGAGTTCTTTGCAGGTAGTCAAGGTTCCCCCTACAGTCTAAAATGTGCATGCACATTACTTCCAAACTGACTGTAGGAGTGAGCAGGAATCGTTTTTGTCCTCTTTGACTCTGTGTTGGCCCTGTGATGGATTTGCAACATGTCCAGGATGTGCCCTGCCTCTTGCTTCGGGGAGGACTTGGATAGCCTCCAGCCCCACTGCAACCATTGAAGACGTATGTACTAAATGTATAAAATGTTGTTGGCAACAGTTATATTAGAATTTCTGGCAATTGCTTGTCAAAGGAATGAAAAAAAAAACAATGACAGTTTTTTTTTTATGAGAAAGTTCCATTTCAGACTGGCATAAAGAATTTTACCAGCTCTCTCTCATATCGATCTGATTATCTAATGTTATATTTCACAGTTGGTTTAAGCAGCTATGGTGAATAAAAATGGGGAAAATGTGAATG